TATCACAGTTGCTTGTGCCCTCAACTGAACTGTTAAGCCATCAAATGGCTGGTGTCAGTGCTGGGACAAAACCAACCAGTGCCTAGGGAGAAGATGGGAAACTGCGCTGATGCCTCCCTTTTGGATGGAGAAGGGAGCAGCGCCAACAGTGACAAGTGCCAAAATGTTTGAGGCATGCAGTTATATAGTACCAGTGAAAAGGTTCAAAATCTCTGGACAAATATTGGGCTAACAGTGGCAAAGGAAAAAAATGTTCCTGAGTTGGTGGAGTCACTGAAATGAAAAAATGCTCCTGAGTTGGAGGCATCACTTGGGGAAAAATTCCCCTGTTGGTGGTGTCACTGAAATGAAAAATGTCCCTGTGTTGGTGGTGTCACTGAAAAAAAAACGTGCCTGAGTCAAGTGTCACTGAAAATAAAAATGTCCCTGATTTGATGGTGTCACCGGAAGGAAGAAATGTCCCTGCGTAGTGTTGTCACCAAAAGGAAAAAAAAGTCTCTGCGCTGGTGGTGTCACAGGAATGAAAAAATGTCCCTACATTGCTGGTATCACAGAAAAGGGAAAAAATATCTCTGTGTCAGTTGCATCACTGGAAGAAACCCTACTACAAAGCTCCACCCACACCCAGTACAAAGCTCTTTACTCAACCCGAACCCCCCCCACCCTCCTTACTACAAAGCTAACCCCTCCCTTTAGTACAGAGCATTCCTTCCTCCCATGCCCCTTCCCCCAGTACACAGGGCTCCCCTCTCCCCTTAATACACCGAGGATACTCTCCCCCTAATACACCAAGGCCACTACACCCCCTAGTACACAGAGGCTCCTCTCCCCCAGTACCCCCCCCCCCCCCCAACTTCACAAATCCACCCACCCATCCATTGTTCATACCTTTGTGATGACAATAAATGGGATTAAAAAAATAAAGTCACAGTGTGTAAAAAGAAAAGATGACAATATTAAAAAAAAAAAAAAATTAAATCGCCCCTGATCCCCATGCTCACGCACAAAGGTAAAGTTGCGCGTTGGTCCTGAATTCATATGCAAATGGTGATTGCACCAATCATTTGAGGAATCACTGTGAATGTCAGAGTGAGCATACAGGTTAACAGGTGGGAATTACGCAGGAGGTCTGGCCCTAGAATCATTGAAGGCTTTTATAGTGATGCTTATGAATAGTTCAAAGTACCATAGTTTGTCGCCGTTTCACAGGTGTGCACAATTTTTAAAATAGTGACATGTTTTGTATCCATTTACTCGGCGTAACATCATCTTTTATATTGTACCAAAAAATTGGGTATTGTGTTTTGCTAATGTTCATTAGATGTATTTTTTGCAGAAAATTTGCATTTGAAAAACCACTGCGCAACTACCGTGTGGCATAAAATATCACAACACCCACTGTTTTATTCTCCAGGACCTCTGCTTTAAAAAAAAAAAGATATATGTTTGGGGGTTCTAAGTAATTTTCTAGCAAAAATATGCAGATTTTTACATGTATGTGAGAAATGTCAGAATTGGTTTGTGAAACTAGTAAAGAAATTTTAGCAACTCAATTCTATTGCTTCCTTGATTCCGGTACAGATATATATTCTTAAATCAGACTCGTCAGTGTATTTACTGAAATTATATATTCTTGAAAATATCTAAAATAAGACTCGTCAGTGTATTTACTGAAATTATATTCTTAAATCAGACTCGTCAGTGTATTTACTGAAATTATATTCTTAAATCAGACTCGTCAGTGTATTTACTGAAATTATATTCTTAAATCAGACTCGTCAGTGTATTTACTGAAATTATATTCTTAAATCAGACTCGTCAGTGTATTTACTGAAATTATATTCTTAAATCAGACTCGTCAGTGTATTTACTGAAATGATATTCTTAAATCAGACTCGTCAGTGTATTTACTGAAATAAGTGCCTACTGATTCTCAATTTTTGCATGCTTTGATTCCATTTGTATTTCCAGCTAGCCTAGGTAAATGGAATATGAAACTTTTGGGATCAGCACTGCTGGATTATTGTTTGTATGCTCTTAGCTCTTTGTCCTTGTGAGTCATGTGTCCTAAATGTCATGTGTTCAGAGTATGGTGGATCAGCTGACTAGTTCTCACCGGGATTTCTCAGCGTCCAGAAGGAATAACTCATTTTGTAAATATGGATTTCTGAAATAGATAAAAAGCAGACCCCTTCTAGTATTACTTCCTCTCCTGTTGGTTCCCTTTATATAGTAGGGTAAGCCAGATCCAAAGATCTACAGTAATGGCATTCATAGACCTCCATTATAGTTGGATGCTGACATTGACTAAATATGGACCATATAAAAACATTGATGTCACCAGCATCCCATCCTTTTCTTTATGTGGGCTTCGGGCCAGGTGAAGTGCCTGCTTGATGGGATAACTGGCAATGGAGATTTCTCCATCCACTCTGTTTAGCATGAATGATGAAATCAGTTGATTTTCTGTCATTCTTCTCTACATCTACTCAAATTGCAGAATGTTTACAGCTTGTCTGAGCTTTCAGAAAATAGGGGTTGGAAAGCTGAAAGCTGCAGAACTTGATAAGTAGAGTTGAGAGCTGGTTGGAGGGAAGGGACACCCTTCCTTCACACAGTTCACAGGAACAGAGCTAAGCCTGTCAATCACAGGCTGTATGCTGGAGATCCCTCCCCTGTCATCTTTTTTTCTCTTGGTGTCAGAAAAACTTGTCAGAAGTGACATGCTGATAGCAGAGGATCAAGGCAACAGAGAGAAATGGCACTTAGTGCTCTGAATTGTGACGTACACAATGTAGATGGATATGCTTTGTTCATATTTCATATCTGAGGTTTACAACCACTTTATTATTGTTATTAAAGTGTTACTAAACCCACAACAGTAAAATCAGTCTGTATATGCAGTAAAGCATGCTTGTTATACTCCTGTCTTGTTATTTCTCCTGTCTTATCTGATCCTCTCCTTCCAGTGCCCCTCTCTTATCTCCTGATAAGACACATATCGTGTGTAGTCACTTTGCACATGCTCAGTTTGGGTGTGTGTTGCTAGAAAGGTGTTTTTTTTTTTTTTCCCTTGGGAGCGTGCATGGGATCAGCACAGGGGCAAGTGCCCCACGGGCCTTTCTAATGCCCCAGTAAAATGTCCGGTGCCCTGACAGCTTAAAGTGTTACTAAACCCACAACAGTACAATCGGTCTGTATGTGCAGTAAAGCATGCTTGTTATACTCACTGTGGAACCGAAGGGGTTAATACTCTGCATTGTGTAAAAATGCTGTTTGATCTTGACTTCTCTGATCCTCCCCTTCTTACAGTGCTCCCCTCTTATCATCTGATAAGACATATTGTGTGGAGACATTCTGCAAATGCTCAGTTTGGTGTGTATTGCTAGAGCGATTTCTTTTCTTGGGAGGGTGCATGTGATCAACACAGGGCCAATTGGCACTGTCCAGATAGAGCTGAGGGGTTCTGCATCCTCCTAGAACAAAATGAAAACTCCTACAAGCTTTAACCAGTGATCTGCTGGACACTGATAGAAGTCACAAGACTGCTATATATTGCTGATATGAAAAAGTAGCCGTTTATATTTACTAAAATAATTGCGTTTCCATGCTCTGTACTGTGAGAGACCAGATATTGTCCTGGGTTTAGTAATGTTTCTAGCATAGAAGATATTTGTGAAAATTGTATTTATTTTTATTACTTTTTTTTTGTATTACTTTTTTGTTTCGCAAGTGTCATGGAGTTCGTATCTGCAACAAATCAATGTGGCAAAGCTAGTATTGTTGTTACACCATGACGGAACAATATTATCATACTATATTGCTTTGTTTAGTTTGCTTTCCCAGTTTTTATAGCACTCTGTCTCCTCTCGTCTGCAAAGAGAGAGCACCAAACACAAATTTCCTATTAGCAAATTAGCAAGTGATGAAACTAATAGGCCCTGGATACGGAGCTGCAGGCTGGGTATTCCAATTTTAGATTACATTCTCAATGGAATTACAGGAGGATTGCAGTTATTACAGTGACAAATTTACAAGACGGCTCTGTCTTCTCTTAACCCTTTTTTTCTATTGTAACGTCATAAGAATGTATTTATTAAGGTAGATTTGGAAAGTGCATCATTGCAACACAGTCAAACTCTGCTCATTTTGGTCTGGCTACACTGACCTTCTGAAAGCTGGTATTAATGAATTACTATTCGATAATGTACATTGCTATATCTTAACACTAAACTTCAGGCAGATATGAAGGACCCAACCTAATGCAGAACTCTATCCAAAAATTACAAGATAAAATAAAAAGCCCATTAAAAAATAAAGTAAATCTTTACTGCAATGTTCAACTTAAATCCTCAGATTTCCATGCAGTTTTTTTTTCTGTCTCTAAATGCCCTCAGTCTGATGGCCAGCATTATTCATTCCACTTCTTCTGAGACCAGGTTATCTTGTACCAGCCTCAGCCTGTTCCTGGACAGTGAAATGAGAAGCAGCGCAGTAATTGCCTCATATCTCTGTTACTCTGCTTTCTTTTCCTATCAGCAAGCTGCATGTCAGTGGACTGATTGGCTTCATGTGCTGCTGCCTCTTCTAACCCTCCATCCCGCTATACAAGGACTGCAAGAAGCATATACTGGTACATACATTGCTCGCATTTAAAATTTGCTTTTAATTAATTTTTGTCCTTTTTGTATCTGCTTTCATATCCACTTATAAAACTGTGTTCATTAACTCCTTCACGCCTAAGGGTAAAACAAATCTTAATGCCTAAGCACAATTTTGCAACAATGACATGTGCAGGGGTGGACTGACCATTTGGAAACTCGGGCACTGCCCGAGGGCCCGAGGTCAGTAGGGGGCCCCATGAGATGCCCCTGGTACCTTTTTCATAGGCTTTTTTGAGTTTGGGCAAGGACATAGGGGCCACATGATCCCCTATTGCCCGGGGGCCCCATGAGTTGTCAGTCCGTCCCTGCCTGGTACCTTTTTCATAGGCTTTTTTGAGTTTGGGCAAGGACACAGGGGCCCCATGATCCCCTATTGCCCGGGGGGCCCCATGAGTTGTCAGTCCCCTGCCTGGTACCTTTTTCATAGGCTTTTTTTGAGTTTGGGCAAGGACACAGGGGCCCATGATCCCTATTGCCCGGGGGGGCCCCATGAGTTGTCAGTCCGCCCCTGGACATGTGTTAGTAAAACCGTACATACATCATGGCCACAACTACTTTGTGCATTGAATTTACCTTATGAATCAAGTATTTCACACAAAGGGCGCACAGGCCTAGTGCATTGCATAAAAAATGTTTAATAAGAAATAACATAGGTGTTGTACTCACAAACGACAATAACGTCAAGGCACATATAAAAAACAGTTAGGTCAACACTGCATATGAGTAACAGTCCGCACAAGACCCAAAAAATAGGCTGACAAAAGTTTCCAGGGCTTGCCTCTTCCACTTTTATTAATTTTTCAGGTTGGGCACACCCTTTGGTAAATGGTAAATATAACTGAAATCATTTTTTTTTTTTATAATTATTCAAAAGCTTCTGGCCCTCAAATAGTAAAAAAAAACCATCTTCCTTTTTAACAGCTGGTCTTTCTTATTGGAATAACACCTACCACCAAAAAAACAGCAAAGTAAATTCTCCACTCTTGATGATTGCAGTGATACCATTTAGTATGGCTCATTGTACCCGTAGGCCACTTCAGAAACAATAGTGCGCATTTTCTTTGCCATCATTTTTTTTGCTTTTTGACGTATTTTTTGGGGTCATTGTCCTTACCTAAAGACCCAGGATCTTGACGCATTTTTTTTTTTCTGACATGGGCCCTGACCTTTGACCCTGACCTTTCGTAATCCTCAGATTTCACCGATGACCTTGCACACAAAGGCACCCTGCCAGAGGCTAGAAAAACCCCCTAAAACATCATTGATTTTTTAACCATATTTTTTATTATTATTATTTCTTTTTTTTTTTTTTAGGCCTCATTCGTTTTTAAGTAGAATGACAGTTAGAAGAGATCAATGTATCTCATCCTCCATTCATAGAGAAAAAAAAAAAGTACAAGGGGGCCTGGCTGTACAGCTTGACTGATCACTGTGATAGCCAATCAGAGGTCACAGGGATCTCCTGGGTCTCCCCAGAAGCGTTGGATTTCATTTAAATGTCGACGGATAGTCGCGCTGACACTGATGCTCCCTGAGCCTGCAGGACAGCTTGAATGTCTTTGGAACATGTTTGGGGCTGCTTATCCACCATCCGGACTATTCTGCGTTGCAATCTTTCATCAATTTTCCTGGAAAAATCCGCCACGACCAGGGAGATAGTGTTACAGTGCCATGGGTTGCAAACTTCTTGATAATGTTGCGCATGGACAAAGGCAAATCTAGTTCTCTGGAGATGGACTTGTAACCTTGAGATTGTTGATATTTTGCCACAATTTTGGTTCTCAGGTCCTCAGACAGTTCTCGCTCCTCTTTCTGTTGTCCATGCTTAGTGTGCACAGACAGACACACAATGCAAAGGTTAAGTGAACACTCTCCTTTTTATCTGCTTTCAGGGTGTGATTTCTATATTGCCCACACCTGTTACTTGCCCCAGTGTGAGTTTACAGGAGCATCACATGCTTGTAACATTCTTATTATCCGCAGTTGTGAAAGGGTGCCAATACTTTTGTCCAGCCCATTTTTGGAGTGTGACATTATGTCGAATTTGCTTTCTTCCCTCCTTTTTTTGTTTTGTCCCAATACACACAAAGGGAATAAACATGTGTATAGCAAAACATGTGTTTAATGCAATACGTTTCGTGAGAAATACATGATTTCCTGGAGAAATATCAAGGGTGCCAACAATTTCGGCCATGACTGTATCATCACAACTACTTTGTGCATCCAGGAGAATTATACCTTATGAGAAAGAACAAACAGAGGGCGCACATAGTGCATTGCCATAAAAAATGTTTAATAAGAAATAAAGTAGGTGTTGTACTCACAAACGACAATAACGTCAAGGCACATCATAAAAGAACAGTTAGGTCAACACTGCAACTGCACTGAGTAACAGTCCGCAATAAGGAGTTTAGACATCCAATAGGCTGACGCGTTTCCAGGGCTTGCCTCTTCCACTTTTATTACACCTTGTGTTTTCAGGACAAATTGCAGGCAAATTGGGCTTTCATTTGGTGGTAAATGGTAATGGATATCTCCTGATATTTTTTTTTTTTTTTTATTATCAAAGGAAAACTGGCCCAAAATAGTAAAAAAAAAATATTTGTTTTTATTTTAGCTGTGTGTTTCTTGTTACTACCATAACCTACCACCAAAAAAACAACCCAAAGTAAATTCTCCAGCTCTTGATGATTGCAGTGATACCATATATGCGTATGTTTGTTGTTTGTACCCGTAGTACAGCCCAGAAACAATAATGCGCATTTTGTTTGTCTTTTTTTTTTTTTTTTTTTTTACCTAAAACACACTGACACCAATTTTTTTTTTTTTTTTTAAATCCTGACCTTTGACCCTGACCTTTCGATCTTTGACCCTGACCTTGACCCAAACACCCTGGCGCTGAACTAGAACAAACCTTGATCTAGTATTTTTTCTTTTATTTTTTAATATTTCTTTTATTATTATTATTTCTTTTATTTTTTTTTTACAAACATTTTTTAACCTTCTATGCCAGGAGTTAGAGAGATAGAATGTATCTCTCCTCCATTCATAGAGAGAAAAAAAAAAAAAAACAACAAGGGAGCCTGGCTGTACAGTGACTGATCACTGTGATAGCCAATCAGAGGCTATCACAGCGATCATGTGACCCAGAATCGGGGTCCCGATCGTTGGAACAGGACCCAGTGCTCTCAGTGACACCGTGGTATTTGTGCTGGGAGAGCGACATGCGGCCCGCTCCCAGCACAAAGACAGGTATGCAAATATGCGGCCCCATGGAAAAAAGCCCAGTTCTGTGAGGCCGCATATTTGTGTTACGTCGGTGTCAAGGGGTTAATAAATTGTTATATGTGTGTTTTTTTATGGAATAAGTTTAGATTCCTAAATATGACTTGGTGTCAGACTGTAGTAAACCCTCCAGAGCTCAGACTGGATGCAGGATGGGCAGGAGTGAGAGTTAGGCAAGGGTCTGCTTCATAACAAATGCTGATAGGAGTAGAATGCACAGTGATGACCTCATCAGTCTGCCGCTGCTACTTCACTGTCCAGTAAGAAGGCTTAGGGTAGTGAGTGGTTTCATCTACAGTTCATAACTGTAACAAAAAGTGGTGTTATCCACCTGGTTGTGATGTGTGGCAGGGCTATAGATCTCTTGACTGATTAGACTGAAATATAAATTATTTGAGAGGTCAAACAGCAACTTGAGTTTTCATCTTTAGTCTTTAATACCATCCATTGATTGTGAGTTTTAGTTTTACTCCCCTACTTTTACAGTTGGGCTCTTGCTGTTCATTGTATAAATTAACATCTTGGATTGCAGTTTACAGAAGTGAAGATGTCTTCTTTACATATCTGAATTTGTTTCCTGCCTGTACTGTGCTCTTCCACCTGCAGACCTGAGCTCTTCTATCATACATAATTGGTCCTTGGTTGCTGTTGGTTTTATCACTGCTCCTTCTTCCTTCCTTTTTTTTTTTTTTTTTTTTTTAGTCCAGGGAAACTTCAGATTTCTTGCTTCTTCAAGAATGGTAAATAACATGGAAAATTATTGAAGTGAAGCCATGCACATTAAAAAATATTGTTCAGATAATAACCATCATTAACATTTACTTATAATTTGCAGAGAGCAGTATGATCAATCTGGAGTCCATTAGTCACTGAAAAGGCATAAAGGCAGATCAAAAAAGGCACCAAATGGTTTTAATAAGTTACATTTTTCTAAAACCTTTAATAAAAAAAAAAAAAAAATTAGAACTCTATTAGAAACTTTTCCAACCACCAGTGAATTAATAACCTTATAATGTACAGAATTGATTCCTCTGTGCTTGTGATAGGCCAATTAGTAACCACTAAGCATGGAAAAAGTTGGCTGTGTAAATTTAGACTTGTGCCTAGGGTAACAACAGACTCCTTAATTGACCTACAACTTTTGCATTGCTAATATTCAGCTTTTTCCCTGGACACTCTGATTGCACAACTCTATGTACACAATCTTGCCAAGAGTATTGGGACACCCCTCCAATCGCCTCCATGGCCACAGGTATATAAAATCAAGCATCCAGGCATGCAGACTGCTTCTACAAACATTTTGTGAAAGAATGGGTCGCTCTCAGGATCTCAGTTAAGTGTGGTACCGTGATAGGTTGCCACCTGTGCAATAAGTCTGTCCATGAAATTTCCTTGCTAAAAATATTCCACAATCAACTGTTAGTGGTATTATAACAAAGTGGAAGCAACTGGGAACAACAGCAACTCGGCCACGAAGTGGTAGGCCACGTAAAATGACAGAGAGGGGTCAGCACATGCTGAAGCACACAGTGCACAGAAGTCGCCAACTGTCTGCAGAGTCAATAGCTAAAGACTTCCAAATTTCGTGTGGCCTTCAGTTTAGCACAACAGTGCATAGAGAGCTTCATAGAATGAGTTTTCATGGCCAAGCAGCTGCATCCAAGCCTTAAATCACCAAGTGCAATGCAGGGCATCGAATGCAGAAGCACGCTGCCACTGGACTCTAGAGCAGTGGAGATGTGTTCTCTGGAGTGATGAATCACGCTTCTCTGTCTGGCAATACGATGGATGTGTCTGGGTTTGGTGGTTGCCAGGAGAACGGTACATGCCTGACTGCATTGTGCCGAGTGTAAAGTTTGGAGTAGAGGGGATTATGGTGTGGGATTGTTTTTTAGGGGTTGGTCTTGGCCCCTTTGTTCCAGTGAAAGGAATTCTTAAGGCATCAGCATACCAAGACATTTTGGACAATTTCATGCTCCCAACTTTGTGGGAACAGTTTGGGGATGGCCCCTTATTGTTCCAACATGACTGCACACCAGTGCACAAAGCAAGGTCCATAAAGACATGAATGAGAGGGTTTGGGGTGGAGGAACTTGACTGGAACTTAACCCGATAGAACACCTTTGGGATGAATTAGAGCGGAGACTACGAGCCAGGTCTTCTCATCCGACATCAGTGCCTGACCTCACAAATGCGCTTCTGGAAGAATGGTCAAACATTCCCATAGACACACTCCTGAACCTCATGGGCAGCCTTCCCAGAAGAGTTGAAGTTGTTATCGCTGCAAAGGGTGGGCCAACTCAATATTGAACCCTACGGACGAAGACCTGGGATGCTATTAAAGATTATGTGCTTGTAAAGGCAGGCGTCTCAATACTTTTGGCAATATATTGTATGTTAACTCTAAACTCTTTTTACTTGATGCAACCCCAGATTTTATATTAAAAAAAGTATTATACTGTATATGTCTTTTAGTTTAGTGTTTTATTATTTTACTTAAAATATGCATTGAGAAAAATCTTGGTAAATATTGTATGATATAAAAAAGGCACCATTTTATTTGGTAGGGTCCCTGAAAAAAAAACAAAAAACAAAACATACAGTTGCTTGGATGTTTTAAAGTGTTAGGAAAACCATGACCCAGCATTCACTATATCTGGTCTCCCACAGTACACACAACATAAATGCAACTATTTTAGTAATTTCTTAGCAGCAGTTAGACCAGTCTTGTGACTTCTATCAGTGTCCAGCAGAGTACTTGTTAAAGCTTGTAGGAAGAGTTCATTCTCACCTGACTGTCCTGTGAGGCTTCAGGATCCCTGACCCTCTGTCTGGACAGCGCTTATTGGCTCTGTGCAGATCATATGCACTTTCCCAACAAAAAAAAAAAAAACACTAACAATACACACCAAACTGAACATGTGCAGCTTGCCCCCAAGGCTTTGTTCTATCAGCAGATGGATTGGGGACTGTGGATAAAGGGGAGGATCAGAGCAGACCGGATCAAACATCCTTTTTATACAATATAGAGGATTAACCCATCTAGGGTCCATAGTGAGTATAACCAGCATGCTTTACTGCATATACAGACTGATTTTACTGTTGTGGGTTTAGTAACACTTTAAGTAATTTTCCAGTAAAAATGCAGATTTTAACAAGTTCATGAATGTAAAAAATTCCCTGGACACAAAGTGGTTAAAGAAAAAGTTTGGCTTTGAATACACGTTAATGTTTTTGCTATTTTTACCTTTTTATATTATGTGACATTTGAATTTGTGTTTTGGAAATTGATGTGCGGTTTACAGTCGTTCAAACTCCCAAAGCGACCTAGATAAATGGCTTGCATACATTTTGTAATGATACATGAATGAATCAGCTGTCTACTTTTATGAGTGTTGCTTTCCGATAACAGCGGAGTAATACACATCTCTGATCGAGAAATGTGAGATTTCGCGTTTCTCTGTCGTCACTGATTTGCCAATGTACGTCATAGTATGATTTACGGTGCTTAAAGCTGTCATACTTTTGATGGGACAGTTAAATCATTATGGATTTTATCTGATAACTGAGACATTTCACCAAACAGTCAGCAATTCATTTTTTGACAGTTTTAATGACAATAATGTTTGTTACTAGTAATTGGTGTCTAAGAAACCTAGTGATGGACTGTAGGTTTTGAAGGCCCTATACCATTTGTGTAAGTTTCTAACCTTAGCTATGAATGTGTGTGTATTAGAAGCTCTAGGTTCCAGGACTCTGCTAATAAATGTATATGATTTTCAGTTTTAGGGTGTATGCACATGGTTGTAATGTAATTGCTATTACAACAGGATCTTGCAGGCAGGAAAATCCTGCATAAAACAAATGAATTGGTCAGTAAAGTGCTTGTGTATACGTACAGAAAGATGCGCAAATGATTACATATTGTTTTTAGAAACATAAAATTTTACTTGTGTTCCATTTCATTAAATCTGAATTCCAGGTATGGATTTTATTGCATAGCTACATTTGTCCAGCTTGTTATTCCATCCCAGGGGCGGACTGACAACTCATGGGGCCCCCGGACAATAGGGGATCATGGGGCCCCTGTGTCCTTGCCCACACTCAAAGCACTCCCAAAAAAGCCTATAAAAGGTACCAGGGGCATTTCATGGGGCCCGCTACTGACCCGGGCCCTCGGGCAGTGCCCGAGTGCTAGAATGGTCAGTCTGCCCCTGTTCCATACTTCGTGGAAGCTGCGTATCACTGTAGTATGCGTCACTACTACAGTGATTGGGTCCCGTGTCAAATGGCTGCCCTGCAGAATTATAACTTCAGGGGGAGAGCTGGGATAGTGATGCCACCTTTTCCACCTCATCCAGTCTGAGAACACCTTGCATTCATTGAGTAACCTGCGGTTAATATGCAGCAGGGTAGGTTGAAACTACTACAGTGATCTCCAGATTCACAGGTCAATATGTGAAGTTGGACCTATGTAGATATGCTATAAAATCCATACCTGATATTTAGCTTGAGGCTAGGTTCATATTCATGAGTTTGCGCGGGCATGACATCCCATTCCTTTGAATGGGCTGCCATGTCTGGTGACGGACAGGAAAGTCGTCCCTGTGCTACTTTGGAACCTCGGTTTCTATGCAAGCTGCCATTTCCAAATGCAGGTGCAATTTCCAGTTCCATTAAGATGCTGCATTTTACTGTGTGGGTGGTTGCAGTTGCCGGCATTTGTGTGGGTCCCACAGCGGCACAACCCTCGCAGATGTGAACCTAGCCTTACAGTGGTTGCAAAGGCTGAAGGTTTTTTACCTGCAGGTCCCATTCACACTTGAGCGTTTTGTAGCTCGAAGTTCAGAAGCAGTGAAGCAAAAATCTTGTTCACATCTGAGTGGTCTGTCGCTCAAAAAAGTACATGCGCTACTTTTTAGGCAGAATTGAGCATTTTTTTGTCCCCATAGACTTCAATGGAAACTCCTGAAAAGCGAGACATTCGCTTTTTTTTCTAGCGCTTTTTCAAGCGTTTTGTTATGTTTTCTGTTTACACAGCAGATTTCTGCCCCTTTTTCAGCAGCACTCCAAACATTTTAGTTGAAAAACACCTGATAAAAATGCCCATAAAAAAAAATGCTTGAAAATGTGATGCTTTGGTGTAAAAATGTAGGGTCATGCATTCAGTGCATGAAGGTTAAAAAAAAGCAAAAAACACCTGTGTGCTTGCTCTGGGGGCAGGGGCCAGTAGCGCCAGCGGGGGAACCGAGAAGAGGAGGATCGGGGCTGCTCTGTGCCTCCATTCTGCAGAACAGTTAAGTATGACATGTTTGAAATATAAAGAAAACAAAAAACAGAGCCTTTAGTGTTATTTTAAAATTCAGTGCGTACATGTGTATGCATATAAATTACTGACCTATGCAGATTTTTCTGTTTTAATACTATGGATCTGAAAGCAGCATTTACTGATATTTACATGCTGTGTGCTTCGAACCATAGAAAACAATAGCAGTGTGCTCAGATTTGTACCAAAAAAACAAAACAAAAAAAAAATCAGGGGAAAAACAAATGTATTCCTTTTTGACAGCCTGGTTCATGAGCCCCTGAAGGGAATGTACAGTCTGTCGTGTGTGTATCTGTCTGACTATACAGGTACCAGAGATCAGCTTGATGTAAACTGACTTATTAATGTAAAACCTCATTTCTGTGTGTACTTTGCAGTTATGTATATGCAGTAGTAGATTTGGGCATTACATTCCTAGCCACCACTTCTTGCTTCGTAGTAAAGGTTTATTGCACCTTTCCACCATGTAAGCCAGTGAGTTTTCTGGCTTACTGAAAACAAAGCACTCTTTGCAATGGCTAAGGAAGGAGGGGAATGGTAGTGCTTAGTCTACAAATCTCTAGGAAAAATGTGGAAAACCCAACAGGTAAAAAATCTGAACGTAAGGTAAATATTGCAATACCTGTTATTCTTTCCTTTTACATGCAATGCACTATACAGTCCTGCACAGGGGCGGACTGACCATTTGGAAACTCAGGCACTGCCCGAGGGCCCGAGGTCAGTAGGGGGCCCCATGAGATGCCCCTGGTACCTTTTTCATAGGCTTTTTTGAGTTTGGGCAAGGACACAGGGGCCCCATGATCCCCTATTGCCCAGGGGCCCCATGAGTTGTCAGTCCGCCCCTGGTCCTGCATTTAGATTATCGGGCATTTAGAAACTGAAGAGCGGTAGAGTAGTGGATCGTATGGTGATGGTAGACCATATGGTTATGGTCAGAAGAAATAGAAAGGTCAACTTTGGCACATGCCTCCCTTATGGGTACCCCCCAGCTTATAGCCACCTCCAATATTTGTTTCTCCAGCCACAAAACCCATCCAGGCCAGGATAGCCCTTTCTGACCATGCAGTGTAGTGCAGCAGCTTCATATTCTCTCACCTGAGAGCCAGCACTCACCAGCTTTTGTAAGCATATGTAGTAAAGTGTAGGGTATTACTTCTTATTGTTGACTACTACAAGTTTTTGAATTTCCATAGAAGGCATAATAAAACCACAAACGAAAACCTGGATGCCCTGGACAATCTTGGGTAGATGGTATCCCTACACCAGGTTCCTATAGCTTGAAGGAAAGATGACATAGTCATGACTTACAGAAAATAAGGTTTGTGGTGTGTTTTGAGATGTTGACCATTTGAGGTACCCAGCTGCCACACTAAGGGGACATTACATTGAAAATGCCTAATGCAGCCCCCAATCCTTTGAATATAAAACACACAGTGAAAGCAATAAAAGAATAAAAATTAAAAAAAACCTTTTCCTTACATGCCGGTACTTGGGAACTTCCTGTAGAAGTCAGCAATGTCAATGGGCCTCACAATGAGATCCTGGGAAAATAAGGTAACAAATAACCAACCAAATACCAGGCATTTATGGCTGTAGAAGTTTCATCACAATGAAGGTGATAAGTACATATCCATGTAAAATATCTAGAAACCACAGAACAATAGTCGTACCCAAAAGATAGGCCTGATCCATTATATAGGAAACTATTCGTTATAAGGTATGTATCAGATGTCTTAAATCCAGGACACAGAGAGCATACCCCATTCTAAGCTAGAGGCTTCAACTCCTATACCTATCCCTGAAAAAGAGAGGTGGTATCCTTGCACCTTTCTGAGGGCAAGAACGAACCAAAAAAAGTCACGCAAAAACACACTTAAGTACTGGCAGCACTGAGGAAAATAAAGAGGAAACAGTCAGTGAATTCTTAATTTGCCAAGGGATTTGGAAAGGTCTGCTTTAAGATACCAATGAGTAAATCAGAAAGATGACATTTCTACTTCAGGTGGTGAAAGTGTGCGCTCGATTTAAAAACTCTGCATCACCTGATTGAATAATTTTGGAGCTCTACATCTAACTTCTCCTTTATATAACAAATTGATGAGGTCCCTGTTGATCATGCAGATGGTGGGGGGATGAAGGAGTTATCCAAACCTTTATGATTGACCTTCAAGCAGCTAGTAGGCACAGATGAGTTCATGTGGCTATCACAATTGTTTGATCATCTAAAAGGAGAGAAGTGCCTTTATCGTAGCTAAAAAGACATAGGAGAGGTGCTTTTAAGTATCTGTGTCTCTGTGATACTATAGACATTAATTAAGTACTTGGTCCCAAAACCCGGTCGTTGCTGGACACGACCAGAAATGGTGAACCCGAGATGGCCGAGGCTGACCACACTGTGGAGAAGATGCTGTTTCGACAGCCATTTTAGTAGGGAAGAACAGTACAAAGGCCCTATGCAGTCATTTAAACTGTGATTGACCTCCAGGATTAATTAATCATATGCTTGTGAGTGATTTGATATCATTCCTGAATCAAATCAGGTTCTATGAAGTCCTTTCTTCAGTTGCGTAGGAGGACGTTGTGGCAAAATGAATGGAGGCACTACTGATAAACTGTCGAAATGGAATAGGACTGTTCCTTTATTAGGCGATCAAAGCTCAAGATTTTAAATCTAGTGGGCAGATACTCCAGCACTGTGCAGGAGCACGTTCCCGCAAGATCTGGGATCCTGGCTTTCACAGAAAGAAGGCCCAGTCATTGTCAACTTCACCTAGATGAGTGCACCATATGCCCAAGTATAAGGTCGGTATTTTATGCATTTTTTTTTGTTTGTTTTTCTTTTAAAATACTTTTTTTTTTAGATTATAGATTTATTCATGGGTTGAGGGGCTGCAGTGCAAGCAGACTGCGCATTTTCATGGAAGGTCTATTTCAGCACATTAAACAATTCTGCAAGTATTCAAACATAAATTACCTTTTTCTTTTATGAAAATGTAATGTGCATTTTTTTTTTGTTAAAACACAATCCATTCTGTATTACGTACAATTAAGAGATCTTCCTGTGTCACCCATCATTAAAACCTTACCTTTCCTTGTCATTTGAGATAACCCAAAAGACAATGAAGGGAGGGGATTTAATTATGGGTGGCTTCAACATGTCGGGCATTAACTGGGGTTCAAAACTACAAATGTACAAGCAAAAGCAGACAATTGTTGGATGCTTTGAAAGAAGTTTCCACTAAAATGGTTACCTTTTATTAATACTGATAGGTTCTTTTCTGTGCTGCTGGGCATATTAGACAGCGTTTTCTTATATCTGAAAATAAAACCCTAGAGAGCATGTCACCAGACCATATATTTCAACAATAATCTTCCTTTAACATTATGTGCATTTAATGTATTTTTATGTATGTTATATACCTGTAAAAGCCTCCCTAGTGTAGACATCCAAGAGGCTGAGACTGCTGTTGGTCACTGCCATCTTGAATATGTTACCAGTAGCCCCGGTAGGGTCAGAACTGTAGATTATGTAGGGAGGGGAGGGGCAAAGGAGCTGGGACAGCACAGACACTTCCAGTAGAAAGCTGTGACATTTCTGGAGAGAGGAGAAACTGTGAGGTGTGGAATTCCCTAGCAAGTTCAAAGGCACACTGCATATGAATAAAACATTGTTTATGGAATGGAAGAAGACAGCAAGTAAACCTTTCAAAAACCTTGGATTTTCTGTGCTTTTACCTGCAGTTTAAGTTGATGGCAGGGTCTCTTTAAAATACATACCACAGCTTGCCTCCTGCTATCGTGCACAATGCACCTAATTCCCTTCAGTCAGTGAGCTAGTCATCTGAGCACTGCGACTTAGAGAGAGATTCCCAAACACAACCACTGCATATACATAAAAATGTTTTGCACTGCCACCAGTTAGTTGCTGCTTTGGAAGTTTGCATGTG